AAGTACAGGCGGTAGCACCAATGTCCTGACCCTGAACTGGTGATCATGCAGACTGATGTTGCATGGCACACAGCTCGTGCGCGCCTCATGTGATCGAGCATGAAATTCTCGATACCGCGGGTTTAAGCTCGAAACTCTCCGGAATCTCACAATAACAAACATTATATTTACCATTTCCCGGAAACCTGCTAGATGGGTAGGACTGAGCATTGAACATCAGCCCGCGCTGTATATGTACATATTTCTTGGGTCCGTCTGCCATAAGCGCTGTGCTTCTCTGCATTCGCACTGGCGCCGCGACAAGGCCCATGACCCGGTGGATGGGGGATGTGTCGAGCAGGCTTGTTGACGAGCGGAAGATGGAAATCTTGCAGCTTCCGCTCTCGCAGCACTTCACCAACACCCGCCTGGAGCAGGCATACCGGCAGTACATCGGCACCATCCAGCTCGGCAACGATGTGGCGATGACGCGACTTATGATGGTGCGACGAGTGGGAGTGGGGAAGGCAGCGCAGAGAGTCCAGAGACCGTGTCGGCGGCGTGACAGCATCCTCATGCGGGACCCTCTCAGGCGTATCAAGCCGTGGCAACCTACAAGACGCTGAAGGAGGCTCATGAAATGGACTGGATGACGATGTTGATGAGTGAGTTCAATGGGACCCATGGAGCCTGGAGTTGGGGAGGTGGGGCCTGTTGCTCCACCTCCCTGCAATTTTTGCTGCTGGCTGACAAGGTGCATGGGCAGCCCGACCCAGACCCTCCTGCATCCACCCCTCTTCTTAAACATCCTTCAAGTCTGCAACTTTGCTGTGCTGGGAGCTACCCTGCTGCTGCCCTCAGTCTGGCCGGGGTTGTGGCGGCGGTGGAGGGACGCCATCATGCCGCCCTTCCTCGTTTCGCACACGGTCGCCCTGCACATCTTCCTGTGAGATGGGTGGAGGCAGGGGAATAGAAATGTGTAGAGCATGCCCAGGAACTCTGGACCCCACAAGGCATTGCTCGTCCCGCAGGTACACACACTCAACGAGCGAGAGCTTGCTGGGCAGAGGCACCCTCTCCCGACTCATTGACCAGTGTGCAGCGTGGGGCGGCGTGAAAAGGGTTGCATGCGTGGGTTGGTGGGCATACAGCGATGAGGCTGCAGCGCCGGAGGCCATGTACTCTGGGGCAAATCATCCTGCCCTCAGCGCACTAGCCGCAGCATCCTGCATGGAGGACTCATCTGCGCATATCTAAATCAGTGATAGACCCAGCCTGCAGCTCACCCTCTGCACCCCTTTACTCCTGGCAGGGGCACAGATGTGTTGGCGGTGCAGGCGCTGGTGCTCCAGAGGAGCCTCACCAGCAGGCTCATCCCGGCTCAGGCCATCGGTGGGTGCTCTCTGGGCCACGCCCGGGAGAGGTTTCATCGCTGCGCATTAGAGGGTCTGCATCCGTCCACTGGCACCCAAACCTTGGACGCGGGACCATCTTACCATTGCCCAGGGGTGCACACCTGGGCGCTTGTTGCAGGGGTCCACTTCCCAACCATTTCCCTGATGGCTCGCAGGGTACATGGTGTTGGCCTCGTACAACTGGCACCAGGGCCATGTGGAGGTGGGCGGCCTCCTGACCTCCAGGGAACATCGGTCTCATGATTGCATCTCCTGCCTCTGCATGTTCCCACACAGAGCGCACAGACTCTCCTAGTTCACTCAATCCATGCCCTCTCCACGCAATGTGCCCCCATGTCACAGACGCTGGCGCTCTACACGCTGCACACTGTGCTGGGTTTGATCTTACCCTGCATCATCGTCTGGCAAGCAGAGTACAAGGCTCGGTACTCCTTCCTGCGAGAGGTGTGTAGTCTTGGAGGCTATGGGGGCGGAGTCACCACCCAGCAAGGATGGCAGCCACGGGCTTTGTCACCAAGCGAGAGCTTGCTGGGCAGAGGCACCCTCTCCCGACTCATTGACCAGTGTGCAGCGTGGGGCGGCGTGAAAAGGGTTGCATGCGTGGGTTGGTGGGCATACAGCGATGAGGCTGCAGCGCCGGAGGCCATGTACTCTGGGGCAAATCATCCTGCCCTCAGCGCACTAGCCGCAGCATCCTGCATGGAGGACTCATCTGCGCATATCTAAATCAGTGATAGACCCAGCCTGCAGCTCACCCTCTGCACCCCTTTACTCCTGGCAGGGGCACAGATGTGTTGGCGGTGCAGGCGCTGGTGCTCCAGAGGAGCCTCACCAGCAGGCTCATCCCGGCTCAGGCCATCGGTGGGTGCTCTCTGGGCCACGCCCGGGAGAGGTTTCATCGCTGCGCATTAGAGGGTCTGCATCCGTCCACTGGCACCCAAACCTTGGACGCGGGACCATCTTACCATTGCCCAGGGGTGCACACCTGGGCGCTTGTTGCAGGGGTCCACTTCCCAACCATTTCCTTGATGGCTCGCAGGGTACATGGTGTTGGCCTCGTACAACTGGCACCAGGGCCATGTGGAGGTGGGCGGCCTCCTGACCTCCAGGGAACATCGGTCTCATGATTGCATCTCCTGCCTCTGCATGTTCCCACACAGAGCGCACAGACTCTCCTAGTTCACTCAATCCATGCCCTCTCCACGCAATGTGCCCCCATGTCACAGACGCTGGCGCTCTACACGCTGCACACTGTGCTGGGTTTGATCTTACCCTGCATCATCGTCTGGCAAGCAGAGTACAAGGCTCGGTACTCCTTCCTGCGAGAGGTGTGTAGTCTTGGAGGCTATGGGGGCGGAGTCACCACCCAGCAAGGATGGCAGCCACGGGCTTTGTCACCAGAATGTGCTCTGGCGGTGTTGACCAGCTGTGCCTCACCCTGGCATGTATATCACGCACTGGCCCTCCGAATTTGGCAAAGACCTATGAGGCATGTCTGCACCCCCCCCACACACCCCCACCCCACCCTCGTGTTGACCTCTGCATCCCGCTGCTCTCATTCAGTGCTCCCAGTCAACCTTTGCCTTCCGCGACCACCTTCACAGGCTGCCAAAGCGCGGCCGATCAGACTGCCACCCCTCACACTCCTGGCACGGTTGAGCTGCCTGTGGCTGCTCCCTGTCTTCATGCTCGAGGGCCTCACAGGACCCATGTTCATCTGTCGTTCCATGCTGAAGACGGGATACTCATGGTGGGCCATCTATTCGCTCATGCTGGCCTGGTCTGGAGCGATGGTTGTGTATAATGCCTACTTCTACATCCTGGCCTGAACAGCCCGGCCACTTGGGATGGCTTCTTGGTGACCTCTGGATGGCATGGTGTTGCTCTTTCTTCCCCTTTGTCTACCTGGCAGGCCCACATTATGAACTCATATACCCGGATAGGTACGCGTTGAGAGTTTGTTCTCTTTCTTCGCCAGCCCCAACTGCATGTGAACTGGGCACCGTCATCTCAAGTCACACCCCCTCAGTCACCCTTTTCCCAATTTTGACATCTGCATGATCTATGTATTCACCCGTACGGTTGCTGACTCTCTGCCACGCATGCAGTAAACGCTTTGAACTCAACACGGATCTCAGGGTTATTTAGAGCATTGATCAGTTGCGCCTGATGATTCTGTTTGACCCGCGATTCGGACGAGGGGCCGATTCGCGCACGGGAAATCTCAGTCGTATGGGCAAGTACTGCGCACCCCAAAATGGCCCGCGCTGTGTATGTACATATTCTCTGGGTCCGTCTATTATCAGCGCTGTGCTTTCTCTATCGTCGCACTGGCGCCGCGATAGGGCCCATGACCCGGTGGAAGGGGGATGTGTCGAAGCGGCCAGGTGACGAGCGGAAGATAGGAAACTTGCAGCGGCCCGTGTTGCAGCACTTCACCAACGCCCGCCTGGAGCATGCCTATCGACTCTATGTCGGCTCAATTCAGTTCGGCATCGACCTGGGGATGTCGAGACTCATGGTGGTGCGTGGGTGCGGTCCTGGGGTCCGGCTGTTGCAATCTCCAGGGTTTTTACGGACCGGGGCTGATAGGACCCTCCCCAGGCCGACCCCAGGCTTACGAGCTCGTGGTAACGTACAAGGTTCTGAAGGAGGATCATGCGCTCAGCTGGATGACCGCGCTCATGGGTGCGCCGGGGCATGGATGGCGCGTGATGGTGGGGCGAGAGTACTTTTGCACCAGGGGCTCCTCAATGTGTCTGCCCAGTATTTATCGCTGAAGCCTTCCTCTTTTGCCCATGTTCACCCTATTCCATTCATTACCACTGCCTCAGTGTGCAACTTCGCTGCCCTGGTGGCCGTTCTCATGCTGCCCTCATGGCGGCCGTCCGTGTGGCAAGAGGGCAGGAACACCATCCTCCCACCTGTGCTCCTGTCGCACACCGTCGCACTACACATATTCCTGTGAGTTGGAAGTGATGGTGGTGATCGCGCTCATCATTCATGTGTGCCACTGGACATGTGATGTCACACAAGCACCGCTCCTCTGGCAGGTACAAGCCGCACACAGGGGAGTCCCTGCTAGGCACAGGCATCCTGTCTAGACTCATAGACTGGTGGGTGGGTGTCAGGCCTGTGCAGGGACCCTACACTCGGCCCAGTCATCCGGGCGGTGGAAGCTGTGCGCCTGCATGCTGGGATCATGGAAGCATCGAGGGTTTGCCATGACAACCCGAGACACACCGGCACGGGCCCATGGTGCATGCATGCGCTCCCGAGCATGCCGCGGCACTGAGTGCCAGGCGCGTGCGCATCCCACGCCCCCTCTGCAGCGGCACCGACGTGCTCGTGGTGCAGTCGATGGTTTTCCAGCGCTGCCTCGTGAGCAGGCACGTCCCCACCCAGGCCCTCGGTGCGCCGGGGACGAGGGCAACCAAGGTAGCAGGGGTGTGCATGTCATGGCCCCTGTTCGGGCTGCGACGCCCCCTGTGTCTCATGAGGCATGGCTTCCGGTGCGGCGCAGGCCATGCCATCCACCTCTACCCATGGCCCCTCCCCTCTCCCCCCATCCTCTTCACCAGGGTACGGCATCCTGGCGCTGTACACCTGGCAGCGCGGGCACTCAGAGGTGGGGCACGGCGTGTATGTGGGATGAGGAGCATTGGAAGGGGGCTGGGACCTCTTCCCCGCAAGATGCCTGGCAGCTCTTTCATGTGTGTGGAGGCAGGGAGGATGTCCACGCATGCCTTCCAGGGCTTGGGCCCGAGGCCTCGGGTGTCATTCCATCGCGCAGACGGTCGGCGTCCTCCTGCTGCACACCCTGATTGGCCTGCTCCTCCCCTGCATCATCGCCTGGCAGTCGGAGTACAAGGCGCGGTACAATTTCTTACTGGAGGTGAGTGGACCCGGGGGTGCAGGGCTCGCAGGCTCCTTGGAGAGCAGCCCCTGGTCCTCGCCGAGGCTGACAGCATGGCTGGGACCGGGGACACATCGTCACAGGGGAGCCGCGAGGCATCCTCTTTGCGGCAGCGCCCTGTGGCGCTGGGTTGCTGCGGCTGCTCCGGCACCAGGACCTCGCCCCGGTGCCCCGGCACACGCTCTGCGGTCCACCCTTCTGACTCAGAAGTCACAGCGAGGCCTGTGCCCTGCCCCCTTCTCACCTGGCCACTCACCAACCCACCCTCGTGCCCCGGCCAGGTGGCCGGCAGCCGCCCCGGCAGGCTGCCGGCGCCGACCACCCTGGACCGGCTGGGCACCGCCTGGCTGCTCCCCGTGTTCCTGCTGCAGGCCCTGCATGGGCCCATGTTCATCTGCCATTCCATGCTGAAGACGGGTTACTCATGGTGGGCCATCTACCTCCTCATGCTGGCCTGGTCTGGGACCATCATCGTGTACGACTACTACATCTTCGTCCTGACATGAGCCGGCACGCGGCACGCTGGCAAGCATAGGGCGGGGGCCACGGGCGGCCTGCCACCGCCTTCTTGCTGCGGAAACCCCATCCCAACCCACAGGCCCTGTACCGAGGGGACGTGCATGAGCCTCGACAGCATCTGCACCAAGAGGCTGGCCCCCCCTCCCCCCTGCCGCTCCCCGCCCCCCCTCCTCAATTCGTGGTCCAGGGGTCGACGGAATTCACAGGGCTCACCTGTCGCTGAATGTCTCTATCGATCCCTTTTACTTGTATACTGCATGCCATCGACAGCCAAGTGTCCGGTCGTCGGCGTTATATTTTTCCGCCGAGTTTGTTCTGCCGCTGCTTCATATCGCTGGAACTTTCCCTCTCCGAATTTTCAGGAATGCAGCCAGCTGCCGGGGGCCAGACCCCATGCCCTCTCACTCTCAGCTCAAGCCTCCATGAGCAGAGCGAGGTGGCGTGCTCCCCTACCTTGAAGTGTGCCACCTCTTTCTGAATCTACAGCCTTGGAGTCAGCAAGGTCTTCCTCTGCTCTGTGCAGCAATTCCTTCACGCACAGACTACATGCCCGTGTCATCAACATGTCTCGCCAGCAAAGTTAAGAGGGGGTTCCTATCAGAGTCGGCATGCAGGTGAGGTGCACTGACGGATCAATCTACGTGCAGTGAAGGCACAAGCATTTGCCGAGGAGGATGGACCCGACTGCCTGAGCTGGCCCAATTTGGGGCAGAATTCGGACAGGGCCAAGGTAACAGAATCCACCTTTCGTCTGCACAACAACCCATGCTCCTTGACGCTTATCTGTGTCATGGGATCAAGGCAAGGCTTTCGAGCATCAGATGGTAATTTGTCCGGGATAAATTCATGCAACAAAGTGAATTCCCTGTGTAGGCCTGTAGGAAAGCGCGAGGGTCCTCCAAACAGGCCCATCGGACACAGCGGTCTAGCATTTTTGTGCTCGCTCACGACCGTCACCGCGCTGGGGAGTTGTTTGAGCAATGTCTTCCAAAGCTTCTGGATGGATCCACATGCCAGCGAGCTCTGCGACCGCGCATGGGTGCGGGTCGCAGGGTGGCACGCACCAGCCGGCAAGGCCATGCACTGGCTCGACCGTCTTCGACGTTCTCTCTCAACGCTTTCGAAACAAGACGTTGGAGGAGGAGTTCAGGAGAGATCTGTGCCAGCGGCAACAGCCATCGGATCGAGCCATGCTCCGGTTGATGGGGGTGCGATTTCGATGGGGATGGACCGGGCTCAAGGTCACTCATGCACCGAGTCAGATGGTCCCGCTGACAGGGCAGCGCTGTTCTACCCAATGCTCAACCTCACTCGTCCACATGACAGGCATTCCATGCGGTCTCTACCTACAAGGTCTTGAGGGCACATGGCATCCAGTCCCCCTTGGACGTCCTCCATGGTGGGTGGGCCTGGGTTTCGGCGCTGGGGCAGAGGGTTAAAGGCTGCCTACCTGCCCTCCAGCATGGTGACCTCCCCCATCCCCACATGCAGTTTGCTCCATGAGCCTCATCCTCATCGCTGTGGTATTCAACACCTTGCACCCCCGAACATGGGCTGCCTGGCGTGATGTGCTGGTACCCCTTGGATCCGTGTACTGGGCGACGACCGTCTTCTGCAACATGTGAAAGGGGGTAGAGGCCCCACTGCACATGCCATTGTCTGATTTGGGCAGTCATGGGCTTTAAGAACAGGTTGAGTCCCGGCTTGGCTGACCTGCCACTCCCTCAACACACCTCAGGGACGCCCCAGGCACCACAGAACTGGTGTTTGGAGATGGAGTGCTTACCCACCTTGTTCTCAGGTGAATGTGAGGGTGTAGGCCTTTGAGGTGATGCATCATGCCCGTTGCTGGTCATGGAATGAGGACCTACGGCGGGTGTAAGGTTTGAGCTGAACCAGCTGGGCTGTGTGTGTCATGTTTAACAGAGGCTGAGCAATTCTTTGATCCTCTCGCAAGGTAGCAATGTGTTCTCATTCCCCTCCCTGTCATGCTATCTGCCCGCTTGCAGTGGCTGTGCTGCGCAGCTTAATGCCCTTTTTGTGATCCCGAGAGCCCCATTCGAGCTGCACATCCCTGTACAGATCGCAAGTAGGGCGTGCAAGCCGCCAGGGTACTGCAGTGTGTGTGCATGCAGATATCTGCGGGGCTTTTTGTGCAGGCAATGCAATGTGCACATGCGTTTCCCCTCTCCGAGCCTTAAATGGCATGTGGGTGCAAAGGGATTCAGCCCTTCCCTCCACCCTCCCACCTGCACAGTGTACACCACGATGGAGCTGCGGAGGGCCTGGCTGGGGAGGCATGAGGTGGGGCGTGTCTGTGTGTGTGCAGGCCGAGAGCACAGATGGTGTGCATGGGTGTTCTCGGCGCCAACTGAGAGTCTCATCATGCAAGGCTGACTTGACCCCACTATCTCAATCCGCAGACATGGGGTGTGCATCTTGGCAGGTTGCTGGTCGCCGGAGCATACCCCGTAGCCATCGCCTGGCAGATGGAGTACCGGGCGCGATTCAGATTCTTGTACCGGGTGAGAGGGGTGTGGGAGGGGAGCATCTCTGCCCGTTTGCCTCCATTCAGTCCTGCAGCGATCTGCTGACAGGGCGGGGCGTCCTTCGATCGTGGGTCAGGAGGGGGTACCAGCCTGCCTGTCTGCCTACGGCATGAGGCCATGAACGCACGTCTTCTGCGCTCTGCCTCTGATCCTGCTGCCCACAAAGTAAAATTAGCCATGTAACTCGGGCAGGTGGCTCGGCCGATGCAGGTCCCCACCCGGCCATTCTGGACGGTGTGGGACTGGGTGGGAACCCTCTGGGTCCTCCCCGCCTGCGTCCTGGTGGGCCTGCCAGGCGCTATCATGCTGGCCCACTTCATGCTCTCCAGGGGCTACGTCCTCATCTGGGTTCAGATCCAGATGGTGATGTGGGTGACCATCGTCACGGCCAGCATTTTCTACCTCGTTGTCATCCAATGATGAGCAGGACCTCTGTCCATTCTTCCAACTGTCCAGATGACAGGGTCTTTCAGGACTCCTAGCTTCTCAGACAGCGCTTCACAGTTTTGGCACCCATGTATGCCCCAAGTTGCCCAACTCCTGACTTGTATCTCCCCTTCAGATTGAATGCAGCAAACTCACTTTCAGTCACCATGATTGGCTGTAGTGTCCGGTAAATATACATTAGTATGTGACTTCAGAGATGAAGATAGGCACATCTGGCAAGCTCATGCACTCACCTGTCCCTGCTATGTCAAGTATGTTGTGAGGAAACGCATGCACGGAGGTCGTCGTACGAAAGAGAGCGTATCCAAGATCCACCCTTGTCCCCGGGACCCTCCGCCCTACGTCCACTAAGCAGAGGATATTCCCATCACCCGTCGAAAGTTGATTCCCTTTGCGGGAAAACTAACATGATAATATTGTTTCGCAATCTAGAGTGTGGAACCCATCACAAACTTGTCTGAACCTGGAAAACCTCGTCCCGCTCATTTCAACTTCTGGCAGCGCCTCCCCTGCCGCCCAGCTCAAAGTAGGGCGCCCTCGACTGACGGCCCTTCCTCATCGCTTCGGGAGCACCATCTTGCGCCGCTTGGCATGGTTCAGGGCACCCTGGGCCTCGTCCTGACGCTGCTGCTGATCACCAGTGTCGAGCGTGTGGCCTCCGTGGCCCGGCCCCTGCAGGACGGTCTGGCCATAGACTCGAATCGGCACGACTGCGCTCCCCATGAGGTAGATGTTGGTCTGTGAGGCCTCGTCCTGCTCCGCTGTCCTTATCACCAGGTCACCGAGGGGTTGTTCCTGCTCCTCAGCAGCTCAGCACGCTATTGGCTGGTACCCCTGCATAGGTGCACCTGTCATTGACGGGAGACGCGAGTGAGATCCTCGTTTCCTGGCGAACAGAGGGAGAAAGGTGAGATTGCCGCCTTCACAAGGGCCTGCAGGTCTCTGTGCAGTGAGTGGCTGCTTGCTGCTGAGCTGTGTGGCAGGGTGTGAGGCTCCTCGGGCACAGTGCAGGGGTGCCACCACCCGCCTGCTTCTCTCGGCTCCTGGCACAACCAAGGTCGCCCCTGCTGCTCTGCCAAAGAGGGTGCCCCGGTGATTGCACACTCCTTCACCAGCCCACCACCCTCCCTCGTCGCCGCAGCTGCCCGTCCTCTGTGGCACTCTGGACGGCGGACGAGAATGCCCAGCCTAATGAGCCTCCGCCCGGGGCCAATGAGCTGATAGGGTCGATGTCATCCTACAGCAGCCGGGACATGTGCTCGGCGCCCGCGCGGGACTTTGACTACTCCCCGCTGTCCCTGCACTCTGTTGTGCTGACGGATCTCGTGCCGGGGGCTCGCTACCGCTACAAGGTCGGTGCAAGGGGTGCTTGGGGCGGGGTGCTCAGGGCAAGGAACACACCAAAGGCATGGGGTTGAGGAGCGTAATCCTATTATGCGCCTGCACATATGCTCAGCGGGAATGCCTCCATCTAAACGACCTCAGGTCAAGCACGGGTCGTCGGTGTTCTTCCGTGCCCCCTCCGCGCCCTCCCCCGACGCTGGCCTAAAGTTCATCGCCTTTGGGGACATGGGAGAGTCTGAGCACCGCGCTGCCAAGTCCCCTGGGTGAGGGCTGGAGGGGTGTGTGGGTGATGTGCAGGGCCATCTCATCGAGCCTGCTCGTGCCTAGGAGGCCACTTTGTTGCTTACTGGAGATGGCTTGGGCAGCCTTTGAGGGTCTTCTGCTTACCGTCTTGAAGACCATCCTGTCCAAGGAGGCACGGCCCCTTACAATGGGATGATCTTCACTGATGAGAACCCATCTGCTGCCTTACTGTCCGACCCAGATCGCTGAGTATCCCTGTGCCCTCACATCACACACCCATCCTCTGCTACCACAGGGCGCAGTACACCGCAGACTGCCTCAAGGACGAGGTGGAGGCCGGCGCGGAGCTGATCTACCACATCGGTGACCTGGCGTATGCCAACGGCCACAAGACGGTGTGTATGGATGGGGGTCGAGTGCCTGTCCTCACTGCCCGTGTGCTGAACAGGAAACCCGTGTCATTGACACTGCTGGTAGCCGCAGGGGCTGTTGTTGTGGCCTTGTTGTACCTCTGGAGCTGGTTCCTGCAAGTGAAGCCCCCAGAATCCGCCACCATCATGCCATGTACCACGCCCCACCTCCACCCTGCCCCCAACCTCACCCCCGCCCCAGATCTGGGACACGTTCATGGACAGCATCGAGCCCGTGGCCTCCCGCGTGCCCTACATGGTGGGCATCGGCAACCACGAGTACGACTGGGAGCACAAGAACTCGCACGAGCCCGACGCATCGGGCGCGGACCTGCCGTACGCCCCCGACTGGGGCAACTTTGGCAACGACTCCGGCGGCGAGTGCGGCGTGGCCGCGGCCAAGCACTTCATGATGCCCTCCTTTGCCGAGCGCGGGTACTGGGCCCCCGGCGCAAACGCGGGCAACGCGAGCCTGGGCCCAGACGGGTGCCGCAACCCCACCCTGGACCGCGTGCGGGGTGCGGTGCCCTCGCCGGATGCGGCGCCGGCGGCAGGGGCCGGCGCAGATGCGGCGTGCGGCGCGGCCAACCACGGCGGCCTTGCGCCCAACCCTCCCTTCTGGTACTCCTTTGGCCAGGGCCCAGTGCACTTCCTGACCATCTCCACGGAGCACGACCTCTCACCCCACTCCCAGCAGTACAAGGTGGGTGGGGTGGTGGGGAGTGTACGAGGGGTTGCGAGTCTCGGGGAGGTCGAGGGAAGGCGTGGGAGGGGAACTTGCTGGCCGGCCCTGGGATCCACTGGCAGGACCAGCCAGGAGGCATGTGGCCCGGCCAAGGAATTGGCTTTACCTCCCCATCATGGCCCGTTTGACTTGGCCTGGCTGGGAGCGACGCTCCCACCCCTGGTGCTTCCAGGATGCCCTGTCTCTTCATGAAACCCCGACCCTCCCCCTCTTCCAAACACCACGCAGTGGATCAAGCGGGACCTGGCACGCGTGGACCGCTGCACCACGCCCTGGGTGGTGGTGGGCATGCACCGGCCCATGTACGTCGTCTTCCCTCACAAGTCCAACCGCATCGTGGGCCAGCACCTCAGGTGAGGCCCTGGGTCTGGTTTTGAGGGGGAAAGGGGGCCTGGGTGTCGGCGGTGGGGAGTCAGTGGTGAAACCCTGGAAGGCAACGGCCGCGCCACCGCGTACCCAGCGCGTGCCCTCTGGGCCCCCCATGTGACCGCCACACCATGCGTGTGCTCACCTGCGGCCCCGCGCCCCACGGCCAGGGACCATTTGGAGGAGCTGTTCAACCGCTACGAGGTGGATGTGGTGGTGTCGGGGCACGTCCACTCCTACTCCAGCTCCTGCAATGTGCTGGATGAGACCTGCATCCGACGCGAGGAGGGCGGCATGATGCACTTCATCGTGAGTCAGGGCTGTGCCAGTGGGTGATGGACCTGAGCGCAAGGGGTGTGTGTGCGCATGTCCAGCCTGCTGTTCCATTCGGGGCCCGGTGCAGGGTCTGCAGCTGGGACCCTTGTTCAGGCTGCCCATGCACCTCAGAAACGCCACATCACACGTGCCCTGCTGCTCCCTGCAGGTGGGCACTGCGGGCCACAAGCTGTCGCACATCGGGCGCTCTCAGTACGACTGGGTTTCCAGCACCGAGGAGCGATTCGGGTACCTGCGTGTGGATGTCGAGCCGAGAGGCGGCATGACGCTGCAGTTTGTCGGCTCGGAAGGTGGGTGTTTTGTTTTATGGGGGAGCGGAGCGGGAGGGGTGGTAGGGAAATTATTTGGGGGGGCGGGGGGCGGGGGGGCAGGTCTTGACCACAGCCTTGGAGCGGGTGCTCTGTGCCGCCCTGGCCACAGCCATGCCGCAGACGTGAGATGGCCATGACCTGTGTCCTTCTGCACGAGGTCCATGCTCAGACTCAGCTCTTGTTTATCCTCTTCTGCTACACCACCCTAACTCCCCCCATTCCAAACCATCACACAACTACCCACAGATGGGCGTGTGTATGACGATGTCCGCCTGGAGCCAGACAGGGCCAGGCTGAGGGCGTGCCGCGCAGCAGAGGCTTGAGGCGACGCCAGCGCACACCATCTTCGTTCCCGCACTGCCTCTTCTTTTCCTGTAGAGAACACAATGACCCCCTTGTCGCCTTGCCCTGCAGCTTGACGTGCTCGCGCACGGTTTGGAAAAGCACTGCAGAGTGCTCTGCTTGTCTCCTTGTCCCTCCCCGCACTGATGTTTCATATGAATACGTGAATTTGTTTCAGTCTTTTGTGTCGACATCGTATTTTCCTGTGAAAGTGTACTGGTCTAGAGTCTGTGTTCGTTGCAGGATCGGGGTGACATCCCGCAGGAACCGTCCTCCTCGAGCGTACCCACCCACCACATCCCTGCTGCGGCCGTATCCACGGGTACGGGGAGTTCGTAGGGGACATCTCCTCACATCTCACTGTAATCGGTACGAGCGCATTGATAACTTTCATGTCTGGGCGGCTCTTCGGGTGTTTTTGCCGAGCAACGTCGGGAGCGGTCACGGTTCCATTCCCTCGTCCACGCGCTCGACTTACCAGATCGATACAGCATCATTCGACCGCATCGCGCTCAGGCCTATTTGATCCATCCATAACATCTTTCAGTGGCCCCTGGACCCTCACCAGTGCTCGTGGAGCACGGACTGGGGCTGTGGCAGGCACCTCTGCCAGCATGGCAGGCAGTGAGGACCCCCTCATTCAGTACATAATCATCCGAGAGGATCTATGGAAGGAGCAGGGCTGGAGCCTGGGCAGTGTGATGGCGCAGGGGTGCCATGCTGCTGTGGCAGCAGTGTGGGAGAGCAAGGGAGCAAAGTCCACAGAGGAGTACTGCAGTTCCGCAAACATCGACTCCATGCGCAAGGTGTGCACTGAGGCCATTGGGGCCGGGCCGGTAGTGTATGGAGGATTCCAAGTGATCTGCATGCCAATATGCACGGATTTAAATGCACTGGTCGTCCCCTTGCACTTGAGAGCTGCACCCACAATTTCACTTTCTGGCATGTCGAGCCCTTCGACCTGGAGTCATCTGCCCACCCTCGGCCCGTTTCCCCTGTGTCCTGTTACCAGGTGGTGCTCCAGGTGCCAAACGAAGCACAGCTCCTGAGGACTGCAACATGCCTGGAGTCGGCTGGCATCGCTCACAAGGTGTGGATGGAGCAGCCAGAGGCCATCCCGACCTGCATAGCAACCACACCGCAGCTAAAATCGATTGTGGGATCTGCACTGAAAAGGCTTCCCCTCTGTAAACGGCCGCTTTACATGAGCAGGGGGAGGGGCGATGGTGGGGAATTATAGGCCGGGTGTCCATAGGATGGTGGAACACCGGCACCGGGAGCTGTCACATTGTCATGGCCAAGATCAGGGAACACATCAGCGCCAGCTGCTACTTTTGAGTACCGAGTAATTCCAATTGCAGCGATTCGTTGAGGCTTCCAGCCCCTTGTGGGTGTGCTCCGATCAAGATTTCGTGATTTCATGGTACATCTCATGGCTCTTCACGGCCACAGTTTCGCCCAGAGATACCTGCAGGACCGGCGTGGAGCTGTGATCCTTGGGGGAGAAAAATCTTGGAGGTAGCCTATATTGAACAGCGTGGACAGGCCCACTGCGCCGTCCACTCACCGCTTGCTTGAAGATGGACCGGACCGTGGGATCACCAATGCGCTCAGGCTCCACCCTGGAAGATGGAGGGGGTGGCGGGGTGATGCCGGAGTGGCTCGAGAGGCAGGCTAGCATGGAGCCCTGCACGAGTTTCACCTGATGATACCGGAGTGCTTGAGCGCTCCTAGAACCACGGAGGTGATGACGAGCTGGGCGATGATTTGCGTTGGCAGCCCCATTGTCACCAGGGGTCGTGCTGCGAATCGGGCTCACCGCTTTATCAAGTCGAGTCAGACTATTCTGAGCGGCCGCTTCCTGGGCGATCGCATGCTCCGCTTTGCTCAATGGGATCGCTGGCTGTCGCTTCGAGGACCACCGTGCTCGCAAGCAGGAGCGGACATGCTGTGTGCTGCCCTCTTCGCGCCCTGAGCGACGTGAGTCAATCACTTCCGCGAGGCAGGAGAGTGCAGAAGCCGAATCTTACATTGCAAATAATCTGATAACTGAGCGTGCAGGCACTTGCTGCTGGCCTCGACAGGCAGTCTCGGCGATGCCGCTCGGCGTGGAGGTGGCCTTGCGGGGCGTCTTCAACCGTGCTCGTCGCGGCCTGTACGCTGGGAAGCAAATCCGTTCTGGAAACAACATTAGTGAAGACGGCAAGAACAAGTGAGCGCATGGAGCTGCAGGGAGGGGACTGTTCTGTCGACCCTCAGCGCACACTGTCCAGCACCAATACCACCAGGTCCTGTCGTCATTATGACTTTCCTCAACTCGCAGGACCCGTCGCTTCTGGAGACCAAACTCCCAGTATGTAAATCTGTATAGTCCCGCGTTGGAGAGATCCGTGCGCGTCCGAGTGACTGCGAGTGCCCTTCGGTGCGTTGTTGATGGGGATGGGCATGGATCAGCTTCAAGGAGCAGGGTGCGACTGGCCAGCCCCGGCGGCTTGTGGTGAGACCTCTCCTCCATCTCCTATACCTGCAACCACCGCAGCACGATCGACAAGTATGGAGGCCTTGATGGCTACCTCCTGAATCACGCCGAGGAGGAGCTCGACTCTGACCTTGGTGCTCGCCTGCAGCAGGAAATTCGCACCGCCCTCCAGCGGAAACGGGCCTTGCAACAACAGCGCTCCCTCCTTCCTCCCTCAGCTGCAGCGGCCCTGGCCAGCGGCATCGATGCCCCCGCATGAGTTCCATTGCCCCATGTGAAACCATTGATTGTCCAAAGAGGGCCCTCAGTGTCCAGCATCTTAGCGAGACAAAAGTGCTCAAAGCGTAAGAGGGACGGGTGCAGGGGGTGCTCTTGGCAAGGCAGGGGCGGAGAGGGAGGTGTGGCGAACAAGAGGAGGCGCGGACCCCACCCATCAGGCCTTTGACTTGCTCTCTTCCGCCAGGTCGATGGTGGTGCTGACCAGGATGCGGCTGCGCACTGGCAGCGGCTCGTTGGTGCCTGTGGGTGGGGTGGAAGGGGGCATTCAGTGGCTGGGTGGAGACACGCCGGGCTGCCAGCATGCGAGCAACCATTACTCGGAAAGTACCGCCTGGGCGTCGTGGTATCCCAGGCTGGCGAGCACTCACTGTTGATCAGGGTGACGTCGCCCTTGATCACGACGCCGGCCTCGAAACGGACCGGCCCCTTGACCGTCAGGGAGGTGGCCTGCCAGAGGGAGGGCACCGTCTTGACCAGCGCATCCATCTTGTCCACCAGCCTGGCGTCGGAGTGGGGGGGGGGGGGGGAGGGGAGTCGAGCAATGAAGGCGACATCATATCCAGAATCCTGCCAGCCGGGCGTCGTCTCGTCCTCCTCATCAGCCGTGTCATGAGGTGTCCCTGGCACCCCTGGCGTGGCAGTCACAGAGCAGAAGCTGGACCATGCTCAGCACCACCCACACGCACCGCGGCTGCTGCACCCGCTGCTCCCTGCCCTGCACGCTACACAATGAGACGCCCCACCAACTTCCCTCAACCCCTCCCCCACCCACCCACCCCCTCCACCGACTTGTAGTGACCGTCGTCCAGCTTCACGGCGGGCGCCGCCACGTCACTGAGCTCCACGGTGCTGGCCTGCGTGATCTTGTAGGCATCAGAGCGCAGGACCAGCAGGTCCGCGCAGGTCTTGACCGGGGCGAAGCGCGAGCGCGGCACCACCACCGCGCCGGAGTCGTCGAAGCACTCGATGGCCGCACCCATGGCCGTCTCTAGCTGGAAGACGGGGGTGGAGCCGGAGTCACGGGGGTTCACCGTCTTCTTGTTCTTGATCAGGGGCAGGGGCAGCACGCCGCCTGGGGGGTGGGTGGGCAGGGAGTGTGTATGCATTGGGGATGGGGAGGGCATCTGGGAGGTTGGAGACGAGTGTGTGTGAGACATGGCAGGGCCGGAATCAGGGGACTGGGGGCTGCCGAGGATAAACATGGAGAGGGCCCTGGCACTGACGGGGTCAGCGCCCAACGGCCTCGTAAGACCCCCAGCTGTATTGCCATTCCAGCAATGTTGCCCAGTGCGTCGCCCCCTCCTACTTCTGCAGAGCCCCCCTTTGCATCTCCCTGTCTCGTCCCAAGGGGGGGCCAGGCCGGACACTGCCCTCCGCCGTGCCTCACCAGCTGCATCCAGGGCGGCCTTCAGCTTGGGAAGGTTGACCCACAGATTGTTGGTGTTGAAGAACTTGTGCCTGGGAGGGTGGAAGGTTCCAATATTGGCGACTTTGAACCGGCTACACCGGCGAGGTTGAGTACCTTGGGCAGGCAATCCACACTCCTCTGCCATCTACTCGGTGCGGAGGATATCCCGCCAGAAGCTCCAGGCATACACACCGACTGATCAAGCATGGCAGGTGACGGCCCTTCCAGCTCCCTGGGAAGATCATCGCCGTATGGGTAGCCAAACATGCCGCCCCGATCACCTTACCATCATCCCCCTTCGCACACTCCCTCCCTTGCTCTCACTTGGAGATGTCCTCAAAGGCCGCCTTGTCGCCGTCGGGGCACTGCGCACTCTCGCGCAGCACCAGACGCCCATCCGACTTGCGCTTGGCCAGGTGCCCCCCCTTCTTGTCTGAGGCGGTGCGCTCCGCCACCTCCATGACAAAGGACTTGTCGGAGGAGGCAAAGTATGCCAGCAGGTCCAGGTCCAGGGTGGCGCCCAAGTTGTCAGAGTTACTGGGACCAGGAGGGAGGAGGTAGAGGGGGACAGTTGGTTTACATGTGTATCCATCAGAGGTGGCACATGGCTGGAGCTACAAGGGATGCAGACGATGCAGGTTGGAGACACCGCGCACTGCTCTGCACGCATGCCCTTGGCATTCGTCCTGTAACTAGTCGCCAGATCAAGTGCTACCAAAGTCCAATCTCCTAGTGCACCTGACAAACAGGAATTTCAGTCCCTTCTTGAGCAGCCTGTCCAGCATTCCAGAGCCCAGCAGGGAGGGGTAGATGTCGCCGTGCCCGGGGGGACACCTGCACTTGGGGGAATAAGTTGCGCTGTCTCACTGTACATGGCAGGTTGGATGCCATCCTGGGGTGCTACATCAGGTGATGATGCAGTAAGGGGAGCATGGCATAGCACCCTCGCGGCCCTATGCCGCTGCCAAGCCTGGTGACATTGCAGCACGGACAGCTCTCAAGGACCCCAGCATCACCCCAAAGGCAGCGCCCGCCACCTGGGGCACTCCAGCGCTTGCCATCCCCACCACATCCAGCGCACCACTCCATGTCAGGGTTCTCCGGATACTCTGCGGGCTTCAGCGTCGCCGCGTCGACCTTGGTGGAGGCGTTCTGCAGCAGCTCCACGTCCTCCTCCTCGATCAGATCTGCGCCGGAAAACGCCAAGCACACTGAGATCTCTACCTTGTCCTTTGTGGGACCAGACTTCCTGGACCAGGAGGCGCACACCCCAGCCCCAGCCCAGCCCCCACCTCCCAGCGCCCGCACCCTTGTGGGCCTGCTTGAGGTATGCCTTGGTGTCATCGGAGGTCGAGAAGGAGTTCATGAGCACAAAGCGCACGTTGGACTTGTACTGTTTGCGGGTGTACTTGATCTGCTCCGCGATCAGGTCCAGGAAGGTCTTGCCCTCCTTGACCACCAGCAGGCTCTTGGCCTTCTCCAGGCCCATGGAGGTGCCCAGCCCGCCATTCAGCTTCAGCACCACGGTCTGGGACAGGAGCTCCTGCAGGTTGTCCGGGCTGCTGGAGCTCTTCAGGGACTCCAGGTATGGCAGCTCCGTCACAGACTCGATGTCAGACTCTGGCAGCTGTCAGTTTTATGGCAAGGGAGGGGGACGAACGTGTGCTGTCAGCATGGCAAGGGTGTAAATAGAGGGTTGTCAGGATTTACTTACATCGACATACAGTAAGCATAGTTTCCCCCCCTTTGCATCGCTGGGCTATCACACCACTCAAGCATCACACCCATGCTGGAAGAAAGCCATCGTCCTCAACTAACACCAGGCATGTCCTCACCAGGCCGGTGACACCCGCCACGAGCTGCTCGTAGTTGTGCTTGAAGGCTCCGATCGCGGCCTGGCTGGATCCCTTCTGCTCCATCTTCTTCTCGAACAGCTCCCATGGCTGCATGGCAAAAGGGTGAGGCGGGGTGCTACTGTATGATCACGGGCACATATTCATATAATACCAATGTGCGCGTGCCAGCACTGGCCCATCCTGAATCCTACTCACGATCGTCTCGGTGGGTTGAGCGGTTTGGGTTGCCATTGTGATAAAGTCTCGGGTTCGCAACACAGGCTCAGATGCGCGATTTCGAGATGGATTTGACGGTGATCGATATAAGATGCTGGGATCTGGTGTCAGATTGGGCAGCCTGGACGGGAGTATATCGGGAGTTGGCCCGAAGTTAGGAGCTGCGAATGCACTGCCAAGAAACGCGTGCTGGGTTCCCGAACCAGACATTCCGGGGAGGGTTTTGAGTGGGCTCCGTCATCGCAGTGATCGCGAGACGAATTGAAAGCCTTCCATCACTCGGTAATGACATGCAAAGGGCATCCAGCCTGAGTTGTGTGGCTTCCCCGTGTTCAGCTGGAAAACATCTGTCCTGAGTTGTACCGGCCCGACCTAGCCAGGAGCGCCCACATCGACATGCAAGCCGCGCGGGCAATAGGAGCATAGTCTACAGCACCTCATCCGATCCACTTGTCTTCATTCTGGCCAGGCATGGTGCCTACTTCTCTCGCACACCAGGCTGTGCCCCTCAGCCACGGTCGCCCACGGCCGAGGGGCCCGCACAGCTCCCCATGCGGTCGCCCTGCGCGTGGCAGGGCAGACAGGCTGCAGGCGGTGCCCCGCGCTTCATCAGATGGCCAAGGCTCCGCGCTGTCCCATCTGCTCCAGCATGGCATCGCGGGGCTGGCCTCCCTGGCCCTGTTGGGCTCCCCAGCCCTTGCTCCACCGGCCAGCCAGGCCACCACCTTCCTCACCTCCGACGAGACCTCCACCGTCAACCTGTTCCAGGCCTCCAAGCCGGGTGTGGTGTACATCACCAACCTGGCCAGCAGGCATGTGGGCTGTGGGCGTTGTTAACCTTTGCCTCCTCATCTGCTCCACGACGCTTCCAGAGGCTGGCCTGCCTGAGCATCATACTGGATGCAAGTGGTGCATTGTGCCACAGTGCAGCGGGTGCATGCCTCCACACTCTCAGCTGACCATCACCACCATCCCTCCACCGCAGGCGGGACACCTTCACGCTCAACATGCTGGAGGTGCCCCAGGGCGCGGGGTCGGGCATGGTCTGGGACGCGCAGGGCCACATCGTGACCAACTACCATGTCATCCGCGGCGCGTCGGAGGTGCTGGTGACCATGACGGGGGGCGAGGACTACCCCGCCACCGTCGTGGGCGTGGACCAAGACCGCGATGTGGCGGTCCTCCAGCTGCAGGGCCTGCCCGCCGAGGTGGGTGGGCGGGTGGGTGGGACCGCGAGGGCAGAGGGGCGTGGGCATGTGCTTTTGTGTGTATGGTAGGGGTAGAGGGAGGTGTGGCGGTGGTGGCGGGCCAGGCGCGGGAGCATAGCCTGAGCAGCGGCTGCCTCTGCCCAGCCAACTCTGTCCCAGACCTGTGCCTGGGCAAGTGCCCCCTGATGTGCACCTCGACCTTCTGGATGCACCCGTCAGATCACGCCTTCTCCCCACCCCCTGATCGACACAACACAGAAGTCGGTGACCCCCCTGAAGATCGGCAGCTCCGCCAACCTCAAGGTGGGCCAGCGCGTGTTTGCCATCGGCAACCCCTTTGGCCTGGATCACACGCTGACCACGGGCGTGATCAGCGGGACGGGGCGAGAGATCCCTGGCGCCACGGGGCGCCCCATCCAGGACGTCATCCAGACCGATGCCGCCATCAACCCGGGCAACAGCGGGGGCCCACTCCTGGACTCGGGCGGCGAGCTCATTGGTGGGGGGGGGGGGGGGTGCTCGGGCATCGGAGGGGATGTGTTGGTGTGTGTGAAGGGACATGGGAGATGTGGGTGGAGGGAGCGTGGCCTCGTGTGGCATGGCAACAGGAATGGGTCCCTGGGAGCGACTGGAGGAGCACCAACAACCCCATCTCAGCACCCCTCCTCCGATGCCAGGCGTGAACACCGCGATCTACTCCCCTTCTGGCGCCAACAGCGGCGTGGGGTTTGCGAGTGAGTGATGCGGCCCGTGTGGGTTCTTTGGTTTTGTGGGGAGGGGGCGCGGTTGACAGGCGGCTTGGTGGGGCCCACGCTCTGGGCGTGAGGGTGCGGCGCGCCAGGGAAGGAGCAGCCACTGAGCATGGGGCCTGAGTCGCAAGGGCATGTTGCCCGTCTCTTCCCGGAATGCCTGCTCCCAAGTAGCAGTACAGACCTCTCACCCCCCCTCCCAATCCCCACACCCATCCCCGCGCCGCAGTCCCCGTGGACATCGTGCGCAGCAGCGTGGACCAGATCGTGCGCTTCGGGCGGGTGACGCGCCCCATGCTGGGCATCGCCTTTGCCCCCGAGCAGTCGGCGGAGCAGCTGGGCGTGCGCGGCGTGCTGGTGCTGGACGCGCGCAAGGGCAGCCCCGCGGACGAGGCGGGGATCAAGGGCACCTCGCGTGACGAGTATGGCAGGTGGGTGGGTATGGGCATGGGCCAGGCGAGAGTGGGAGTTGGTGGTGGGGGGGTTGGGAGGGGGACGTATGACGTGGCCGCACGGCATGCTTCCAGACCGTGGTCGATGAGGCAGAGGCAGTGTAGGCTGGTGAAGGGCCGAGTGCCAAGGTGGATGCCACAGAGGCTCGTCTGGGTGCCTCCTGACCCGCCCGCATGTAAATGCTTAGCCACATAGCATGAGTCCACGCTTCTCGAAGCCTGACCCCTGGATTCCCATGGCGTCAGCGTATACCCTTGCCACCCACGCACATGCATGCTCCCCCCGCCCACCGTCCCGGACATGACCAACCCCCCATGCACATCCTCAGGCTGGTGCTGGGGGACATCATCATCTCCATAGACGGCGCCAGGGTCAAGACCGGGTCCGACCTCTTCCGCGCGCTGGACAAGCGCAGCGTAGGGGATGCGCTGGACGTGGAGGTCCTGCGTGGCAACGACCGCTCCCACGTGGCCATCACGCTGGCGGCCAGCAACACGTGAAGGGGGGGGGTCTGTGCTTGGGGCGGCTGGTCTGGCGGTCGGCGGGGCTGGCGCACACCGGCCTGCGTCGGCAGGTGCCGGCGGGATCCCCCGCCGATGCCTGCGCTCCGATTCGATGGCGGAACGAACTCTCTGTACCTTGATGTGAGCGGGATGGAGCATGTGTACCCTGAAAAATCTGTACGCTGGAAGAGGCTGCCTGGAATGTACATGCTATGCAATGTTGCGGCGTCAGAAAGAGTGCGGCAGGCTCATCGACAGGTTGTGATCTAGAGGGGTTGCATGGTAAATTCATGCTGGCAAGCCTTTGGATGCTCCCCGATGGACACACACCCTGCAGCTCAATTACGCATTACCGTCGGGCGCTAAAAGGGCTGATTGATGCTCGCTCAAGATGCTAGTGTACTCATGAGCCCCTTCGCCTGCCACATGACTCCCCATAGGCCCGCACAGCACAGCACGCGCGCCGCGTACCAGCCTGGCGCCCGAGGCTCAAAATTTGCAGCGACAGACTTAACATCCATGCCAGCCATCGCGAAACAGACTTGCGAGCGTGGTCGACATAGAGAAACCTCCATCATGCCCCAAGACAGCCCCACAAAGGGTGGCGCAGGGAGATTAGGGCGAGGGAAGCGAAGACGATCGGAACCGGCTGGAGGCGTCGACCGGTCGGCAGCCAGGTGCGGAGGCAATGGCAAGCATTCACTGGAGGAGTCCCAGGCAGGAAATTGATCGGTGAAACTCAATTGATCATTGCTCCACAGGTCCATGGAGGAGCCCATCCGAAGGAGTTCGCGGGGGGCTTGGACCAAGGAGGAGGTGAGGGGCTCCCTTGGGAATGGTGATCAGGGGAGTGTGCTGTGGCCGTTCACCTGGTCTGTGACCCCCCGACGCCCAGGACTGAGACAAGTCTGCACTTTGTATGAGCAGGACGCCATGCTGACGGAGCATGTGGCAACCAATGGACCTGGCAGCTGGGGGCATATAGGTGAGGTGCAGGGTGGCGATCCGATTAGCAGCCACTTGCACTGTGAATGCCAAGCAGGTTGCGCAGCGTAAATGTGCCCCCAGCGCCGCTTCCCTCTGCTTTCATGGTTGGCTCACTCGTCGAATCCACCCTCCTTGTGCAACTCTCTCCGGCTAATTATTCCCCACTCCCCTCGCATATGCTCATGCTTTCAGCTATGCTACTGCCCAATCGAACGGAAGCCCAGTGTTTCCATCGCTGGCAAAAAGTGCTGAACCCTGAGGTCTGCAAGGGACCCTGGACGAAACAGGTACGGGCTGGCATTCAGCATGTGGGCCAGTGGTGGGAGGGTGGCCTAATGCCCATGCTGTCCTCACACCCAGGACAGGAGATGTGCATACAGTGGAGTGTGCCTGCATCCTCCTGCACGATCTCGTCCTCAGAAGGCGACTCTTTGTGAGTGTCTGCTGGATTGCGAGAGACATGCTTCCCTCTGATGGTTTCTTCCTTCTCACCCATTGGCGCTTGCCCCCCCTCAATCCTCAACCACAGGAAGACCAACTCATTCTGAGGTTGGTCGACCATTACGGTGCCAAGCAATGGACCTTGGTGGCAGGCCACCTTCAGGGTCGGCTGGGGAAGCAGTGCCGGGAGCGCTGGCACAACCACCTGAACCCAGCCATCAAGCACGGAAACTGGACGCGGGAAGAGGATGAGGTTGTCGTCCGCTTCCATGCCTGCCATGGGAACCAGGTGCGAACCCTGCGATTATCTTGCTGGTCCAGGAGTATTCGGGAATTGGGCTGCGTGCATGACAGGTGTTGTTGTCTTATTCAGAGGCATGGCAGCTCAGCTTAGAGCTCCAAACGGGGCTATGCTTTTTGCTGAGTTTGGTGTGCGCAGCGGCAGACATACCTCTGGGTTTGCCTGTCAAGAGGCCCCATGCCTGTCCTCGGACTCAATTAGCCGATCATCCACCAGCAACCACTTTACACCATTTCTGGACTTGCAGTGGGCTAAGCTAGCCCAGTTCGTTCCAGGGAGGACCGACAATGCCTTGAAGAATCATTGGAACTCCACACTGCGGCGCAAGGTGAGCGGCTAGCTTGCATGGATTTGTCGATTTGGTGGCTGTTGCACGTTCCAAACTGGTACACCATGGTGTTATTCGACTGACTGTTGTGTTTGAGAGACTCCAGTTCCGCTGCCAACACATCCCTCTGTGCCACCATTCCTCCTCTCCCCATCGCCTCAGGTGGAGCAAGGGGAATTCTTAGGCCTCAGGCCCTGGGTGGACCGACCAGGCGACAGTCAAGGTAAGCTTTGTCGAGACAGCCAGGCTTTGTACAAGCAGGAGATGCGCTCATCGATGGCATGGATGGCCAGTGCTGGGTCGGGGATCTGCACGATGAGAGCAAGCTGGGTGACCTGCCTCGAGAGGACCTTCATGCACAGAGAGACGCACCCGGGTGTCTCTGCGGCCGAAGTCCCGCGCTGAGGTGCTCCATCCCGGGCCCCACCCCACAGATGAGGATGGCTGCTCTCCCGCGAGCGACCAGCCGCCGAATGCGACGGCGGGCGGGAGCGAGCCGCAGCCTGCCCAGGCCCCAGCCCTGCCTGCCCTGCCCGATCCCAACCTGGACCCGCCCATCATCCTGCTGGGTCCAAGGCGCAGTGGCCGGCGCAGCAGCCTGGTGGTGGACCAGACTTTCTTTTCCCCGCCCAGCCAGCCCCAGGTGGATGCCTGGGTGGCCGCGCCCACCGGCGACTTGCGGCTGCCCAGCGACTTTGTGCCAGACCTTGATGGTGAGAGAGGGCGTTTTGCACTGTGTCGTTGGGTGGAAATGGAGACGAGCACACCATCAGGCTTCCTCCGTGCCGTTACTCCTGGGGTCCGGCGGTGTGTGCAGGGATGGAGGGTGCCCCACCAAGGAGCCTTCTCCCCAGCCGGTCACCACACCGATGCGCAGAGCCAGACAGCGCGGCTGCCGGCCAGTGCGCCCCTGCTCCGAGTGTGGAGGAGAGGAAGCCCAGCTTCAGCTTCAGGACGCTGCCCAGGAGAGCCTCCGTGGGCGGCACCGGCCCCAGACCCGTGGCCAAGCCATCTGCACGTCACAAGGCCCGCGGCAAGGTGGAAGCGGCGGCGAGCGACGAGGCCACGAGAGCCCCGCAGGCGAGCGGTGCTGGATCCCGGTCCCGGCGACGCCGGCGCGAGAGCGCCGACGCCGGGCCGAATCAGGATGCCACGCAGCTGTCCGGGGATGCGACGCGCGGAGCGACGGGGATGATGATCGAGGGGCCTCTGCCGCCGGTCGCGCATGCGGCATACGGCGGGCCCAAGGCGGCGGCCGCCGCCCCCGGCGCCGCCGCGTCCCTCGCTCCGACTGTGACAGGCCCCCCGGGCTGCCAGACCCTCCCCCTGGCGCTGGGCGTGGTGCTGCTGCCGGTGGGGGGCGGCGGCTGCTCAGGACCTCCCACCCAGCAGCCCGCCTGCCCGGCCCCGGCCCTGGCTCAGGGCCCCGCCGCCCTGCTCTCGGTCTGCGCAGCGGTGGCGGGCCGCGCCCCGCGCCCGCCCGCACACCTGACCCTGGACCCCGACACCTGGACCAGCCTGGTGGAGCTGGGCATCGACAGCCCCGCCATGCAGGGTGGGCACTTGGAGGTTGGAGGGTGGGGAGGGTCCCTGTGTCCATCATGTGTCTGGGGAGGACTTTGGAGCTGGGGAAGGGGAGGGCCCTGACACTCTGGATCAATCGACGGGTGTGGAAGTGGGTTTGGCGCCGCCTCTGGCGATGCAAGGGGTCGCCCACCGGCATGTGGCCAGACTGTGCGCCTTGCATCGGGGAGCGGCTCCTGCTGCCAGGCTGAGGTCTTGGGCCAATAGAAGGACCGAGGGTCGTCACTCGCCCTCGGTCCAGGCAGAGTGGCGCCAGCATCCCCTCCATGCATCATCCCCATCCTGTTCACAAACCCCATCCTGTTCGCAAACCCCATCCTGTTCACAAACCCCATCCTGATCACAAACCCCATCCTGTTCACAAACCCCATCCTGTTCACAAACCCCATCCTGTTCACAGACCCCATCCTGTTCACAGACCCCATCCTGTTCACAAACCCTCCCCGCACGCAGCCCGGATGGACGCCGAGCTGACAGACACCCCTCTGCAAGGGTGCCGCGTGGCCCCCCCGAGCTGCATCGCCACGCCCGCCATGCTCTTGTTCGGCACGGGGCTGCGAGGCATGGGACCCCGGTCGGGGGGCACCGGCAGCGCGCGGCGCTGCGCCGGCGCATCCACGGGCCCCCGCCCCCGCCCCCAGATCTCCCTGCTGGCGGCCACCACCGGCACGCCCTCCAGCGTGCTCAACGCCCTCCCCCGCGCCAGTGGGGCGGGGCCCGACGCCCGCTCGCCGAGCGCGCGGTCCCTGGGCGGGGCGCGCCGCCGCGGCCAGAGCCCCGGCGGCGCAGCCCCCGGCGGCGCGCGGGAGCGCTGCTCGGTGTCGGGGCCAGGGGACGCGACCGTGCGCGCCGCGCGGCCCGCCTGGAGGGCCCTCCAAGTCCCCCTGTGCTGCAGGGGGAGGCGCCCGGCGCCGGCGTCGGCGCCGTCACGCCCATGGGCGCCGGCCTGCGGCACGGCGAGGGCCTGCTCCTGTCGCCGGCGCCCCCGGCCACGGGCGCCGGGGCCGAGGAGGAGCGGCTGCTGTGCGCAGCGCGCTTCCGCCCCGCCAGCCTCAGGGTCGACGACCTGTACGGCGCTGGCGGAGCGGGCGGCTCCACGCGCGGCGCGGCGGGGAAGCGGCGCAGCAGCACCTTCAGCACCGCGGCCGGCGGCCGGCAGGTGCCGGGCGGCGGCTGGGGCGGCAGCCCCGTGCAGGAAGGCTGGAGCGCGGGGCACGCGGGTGCTCCGGGCGGGGGCGCCGATGGCTCGGGTGGCGACGGCGGCGGGGACGCCGCCGGCGGCAGCACGGCCTCGCAGCTCAAGGCGCGGCTGTACCAGCTGGCGGCGGTGTCGCCGGAACAGGCGTGCCGCGACGCCCGGGGGGCGGAGGGCGATGCGGGCGCGTGGGGGGCCCCGGAAGAGGGCTTCGAGGCGCCGCGCCCGGCCGCGGTCCTGCACCTGGCGCGGCGGCTGGAGGGGAGCAGCTGGCCCGGGGCCGACGGCGAGCGCCTGGGTGACATGCAGAGGCGACCACCGTGCCCCGACGCAGCGAGCGGTGGCCCCGCGCCGCTTGCCCTCGACCCCTCCCTGCCCTCCTCGGTCCTGCGCGCGGCCGGGCTGGCGGCGGCGCTGGGCCAGGGCCTGCCCTGCACGGGCCCCACCTGCCAGGCCGACGCCCTCAGCTGCATGCGGGCCGCGCTGTGGACGGGCGAGGAGCTCTTCGCCGCTGCCCGAGACCTGGACGGCGGCCGCTTCGCCGCCTCCCTGCTGAATCACTGACCTTGCACCGTTGACTGCCGACTGTCCACACTTCCTGCCTCAACGGGATTGCATCAGGGGGGTGGCCCAAGGGGCAGAGGAGGGGTGACTGACCCAAACTCCATCTCGGGATTGGTTCCCAATCCCCCGCGCGCGAATCGTGAACACCAGCGCCCTGCATGCGCGAGGTGTGCAATCATATCAATTCGACAATGCCTTGGCGTCATTCAGGCCTCCAGGCCATCCTGGATTCGCAATCATCCTTCTCACTTGTGCCTCGTCGGGCCCATCGAGCATGCAGCATGCCGCGCGGGCCTGCCGGGGCGTGGGGCGCCTGGTCGCCCAGTCCCCGCTCGGGGGGGCTGTGGATCTCGCCACCCGCGGCCTGGCGACCGCTACGCCAGCCGACGAGGTGGTAGACCAGATGATCGCATATGCACGGGATCACTACAGGGTGAGTGGGGTGGGAGGCCCATTGCTCTCGGTCGAGAGCAGGGCCTCTGGGCAGATCGTACGGGGTGATGCCCCAAGCCATTCCCGTGGCCCCACTTCCAGGACAACCCAGATCAGGTGGACGACATCCTGAAAGGAGGCCTGGCGATGGACGTGTCGGGGATCAGCCAGCAGAGGTGAGGCGGTGTGGCCTTGAGGTTCAGTCTTTGGCGCATGGTCGGTCATGGCCTGCCCCTCCTGCCATACACCCTCGCGCCATCGCCCGCCTGGACCGCCCCTGCAGACTTTGGCTCGCCCGCGCCGACACCGCGGCCGAGTGGTCGGACTGGCGGCAGTCGGCCGCGCACGCCGCCGCGGCCTACGCCGCGCCAGCCCCCTCCGACGCGCCTGGGGCCACGGATGGCAAGTCGATGGCGGTGTACTCTGGCGTCGCCGCGTTGCTGGCCGACGGCCAGGACGTGGAGGCGGGGGAGGCGCTGGAGCGGCCCGGCGTGGGGAGGCTGGCGGGCCCCTCCCACGCGGCGCTGCTGGCCATGCTGGGCACCACCTTCCGCGCCTGCACCGCGGAGGACATCGCCTTCTTCCAGTCATGCAGCGCGGCCCAGCCGCCAGAGGCGCGTGCGGCCCTGGACCGGGAGGTCGCGGCGGCGCAGCTGACACAGGTGGGAGGTGCGAACGAGCCGTATCGCCGTGCCCAGCTTCCCAGGCGGGGCGTGCATGCGAGGGCGTCGAGAGACATGTCGGACACGAGGGGAGCGAGGCCACGCCAGTCAGACACCCCTCTTCTCCCTCCCGTGTCTCATTCCCCCAAATCATTCGCTCTCCCCCACCGAAAAAGGCCTGGACCGCGGGTGCATACGTGCCCGCCTACCTAGACGGCAGTACGGTGGTGGAAAGCACGGCGCGCGCGGTGGACACGGCCATGGCGGCGGCCACGGCGCAGGGCTCCCACGCCGCGCTGGGCCCTCTGTCCAGCCCCCTGCGCTGCGGCGAGGCGCTGGCGGATGCACACCTGCTGCGGGCGCAGGTGCATGGCCTGCAGGGGCGGTGGGAGGAAAGCGAGGAGAGCCTGGCCGCGGCGCTGAGTGTGGTGGAGGGCGTGAGCGCGGGAGGTCACCCGCGCCTCGCTTTCCCGCTGGCCCTCCTCGCACACGTGTACAGCCGCACCGCGCGCGTCACCCTGGCGGAGGGCCTGTACAGGTGCAGTGGATGGGGGGAGAGGATGGGGCCTCTGTGGTCCTGTGGACCTGCTCCTCTGTCCCTTTGCTGGTGGGGTCCTTGAGGTGCCCTGCATAGAGCCACCCAGCCCTCTTGCATCGCTCCCTTATCTTTCCCCACAAACCTACAGGGAGGCGACCAAGCTGCTGCAGCTGGATCCCCGGCGGGAGGTGCCCTCGGGCTCGGCGCCGGCGGCGCCCGCGCCGGCGCACTGGACCGTGGGCGCCTTGCTGAGCTGGCGGTACGGCCAGCTGCTGACGGCGCTGCCGCGCCGCAGCACGGAGGCGGCGGCCTGGCAGGCGCTGGGTCTGCGCCTGGCCGAGCCCCTGTCTGCCATCATGCCCATGCAGACCCTGCTGGGGCCCCTGGATGTGCTGACGCAAAAGGGGGCCCAGCCTGTGCCGGGGATGCTGCTCAGCCTCCCCTTCCGGAGAGCCGTGCCCCTGGTCTCCTGCACCATGGACCCCCCGTGATCTGAACGTACCACCCCTGCGCTTTTCTCTGCCTCTTAACTGGTCCTGGCGTTGGCCAACACGTGCAAGGAACGAGACACTGCAGAGCGTGCAAGCGGGCAACGGGTGACTTTGGGCGCTGTCGGTGTCGATGCAGGCAAGGCGGACGCTATGGCAAATGCTGCTCAAGCATGACTCAGGAGAGTGGGTGACACAAATGCGACTCGGGCGCCAGCAAGAATCAAAAAGGCGCTGGCGACGCTGCAACTACGGCTGAAATCGTGCGAGTCACGCCAGCTCAGCGCGGGCCCTGGTGGCGCAGGGCCCCCTCCTCGCGATCAATTCAAAAGGGGCACACCGCGGTCGCCAGGTCTATGAGGAAGCTGGGCAGCATGGGAAACTGGCGGCTGGTCTGTGCCTTGCCCGTCACCTGGAAAGTTTGATCGGGAGAGCATGGAGGGGAATCACGCGGATGCACACCCTTGGCCCTGCCGCCTTGGCGGACCCCAGTCCCCTCCCCCACATGGTCGCTGCCTCAACTGCCTGGCTGAACAGCCCTCCCTGCCCGCAAACATGTGCACACCGACACACAAGAGCAGCCCGGTCCTCACCAGCTCCAGCACGTCGTCCATGAGCTCGTCGCGGCCGCCGCGCATGGGGTCCTCCACGATCGGCTGTGTGTGTGTCTTGCCGCGGTACAGCTTCAGGCGCACACGCGCGCCTGCGCTTTCCAGCGCCGCCGCGTAGCCCAGCGCGTTGTCCACGGGCACGGAGCGGTCGGCGGTGCCGTGCAGGAGGAGGACGGGGGGTAAGTGGCACGCGACCCCGGGCGCCAGCCCCGCTGCGACGTGCGTGGGCGACAGCGCGCGCAGCGCGGGCGTGCCGTGCAGCGACATGATGCTGCCAAACATGTCGCGGTTGAGACCCCGCCCGTCCAGGTGCGCCGCCAGGGCCTCCAGGTCGTAGGCGCCAGACACGCCCACGAAGCCCTTCACCCGGTCCACGTCCCAGCGCGGGGTGCCCCCAATCTCCACTTCTGGGAGAACAGCTGAGCTGGTGGTGGCGCCCTTCGACCCCGGCTGTGCGATCCCTGCAGCGCCGCCCTTACCGGACGATGCCGGTTCGCGCTCCCCGACATCCCCCCTCCCACGATCCCCAGCGCCCTCTGCCGCCAGGTCAGCGCGCGCAGCGTGCCGGGCCTGCGCCAGCAGGGCCAGGCTGCCCAGGTGGCCGCCTGCCGACTGGCCGACGACAAAGAGGTTGGTCGGGTCGCCGCCGTACAGCGCCACGTTGTTGATCACCCAGGAGATGCCCGTGTTGACGTCCTGCAGCATGTCCAGGGCCGTGCCCTGGTGGTGGTGAAAGGGAGAAATGTGCATGCCGGTTTGGTGCATGAGCCTACGTCTGATACCATTTGCGACCACAGCAGTGGGACATCTGGAAAGGCATGGAGCAGACTGACGACACATGATCTCCGACATGAACGTAGGCTGCTGCCCTCTCGGCACCCAGAGGAGCTCCCCGTCCGTACCCCACCTGCGGGAAGTTGCGGTAGTCCAGGCAGAAGACCAGCACCCCGCGCTGACTCAGCCTCCTCCCCAGCAGCGCCCCCCAGGCTGCACGGTGAAGGTGGTGGCGGGGTGTTGGTCTGCCTCGGAAAGGAGCCTTGCTCCGCCGCTGGCTGGCCACGCAGGCACGCCCAGCGCGGGCGCCGAATGGGGACCCTTCTCCAACCATTGGCCAGGTGGCAGGGCAGCTGCATCTCTCGGCCCACCCGCTGACACCAACCCCTTTCATGCCTGCCTCTCAAACCCCCTTCTGCTTGCCTTTGTAGCCGATGGTCCAGGCGCCGCCAGTGATGAAGATGACGGTGGGGAGGGGGCCCTGACGCTGCCACCTCCGGCGAGGCACAAAGACATCGAGCCTATTTCGAGGCTTGGAGCCAAAGGCGATGCTGCGCAGGAGTCGGGGCGAGAAGAAGTAGAAGACTATCATCTGCAGTATCGCTAGAGAGGGATTGGTGAGTGGGTCTGTAGATGTGATATATTGAGTGGTCAACATGCAGCCCTGTAACGTAGAAGGACTGCGCGCCTGGGGATCAAACATTCGACGCGCACCATAGACTGGGTGGGGCTTGCAGGCAACCGCCATTCGCATGCTCCCACCGCAACATCCAAACTGCACCTGAGCGAAGCCGGGGAAAAGGATGGTGGCAAAGAGGACCAGGCGCCAGAAGTTGAGGAGCCACATCCATCCTGCAGGACGTGACGTGGGGGGGTAAGCTGGGTGCGCTATGAGGCAGCCGGGCTCTGCCACACCAAGGGTGGGTTATATTGCCGTCCGCCCCCTCCCCTGCACGCCAAACCCTAGCGCCTATCTGTCCCCTCATCCCGAGCACCTTTGGCGACATAGGTCCACAGCCTCGCGGCCAGCTTGGTAACGAGGAAGATGTCCTTGATGCCACCAATGACATTCTGGCGCAGGCTGTGGCATATGAGGTGGTTTTCCCGAGTATGGGAGGTGGGCTTGGCACACCTGCGCGACTTTTGTTCCATCTTCCAGCATACCCTTCACTGCACCTGTTGCATACAGAAGCTTCGCATCCCAGGCCTCTGACAGTCGGCACACATACCTGTGGCTGGGGATGGTGGCCCGGGCGCCCGGGGACAGGAGGGACTCCTCATCCAGGCTGGGCTCCGCCAGCAGCTCCGGCTCCTGGGCTTCCTCGGTCTGCATGCGCCCCAGCAGCATGGAGCCCAGTTCCCTGAGGGGCACGCTTTCTTCCCCTTCCTCCCCGAACTCCACGACCTCGATGTCCGGCAGTGGGCCAACATGGGTGATCGTGGTTAGGGCCTCCTCGCTGAAAACCCCAGCCCTGGCCTCCTCGGTGGTCTCCTGGACCATGAGGGCCCTCGGTAGCGTGTGCCTGCGATGGGGTGCAGTCCTAGACGGTGTAGGCAATTCCCTGCTGTGTCCCGGGCCGAATGGTGGGGTGCGTCTGGCTGTCGGAGGTGTCGAGAGTGGCTGGCTCCACGGAGCTTGACCGGTCACTCCTCGCATGCACTCCAATGAAGGGAGGGGTTGACACTCGGATTCCGGCTGCTCGTTGCCCCGATCATGAGTGGGGCGCAGCCTGCCAGTGCCGGATGCGCACGAAGTTGCGAGGGGTCACAGGGCACGGGCCGGGCATACCGGGCGCGAGGTGCCCGGGAGCTTCCTGTGGGATGACCTGGGCTCGGATCATGATGCCATGCACAAGCCTTACATCAAGCAAGCAAGGTATGCTGACAGTGATGGGCACAAAAAAGCAGCGATCAAAAGAGGAGAGTGGCAACCAGGCGCGCGAGGAGCTGCATGGCCAGCAGGGCCACAAATGCGGCGGCCAGGACGGCGGCGACCGCGGGTTGCTGCAGCGCCTCCGCAGCGGCCGCGACGCCCTCGCGCGCGGCCGCACCGGCCGCCGCGGCCACCAGCGCACGACCGTCGGGATCCCTGGCCACCGAGAGGAGGGAGCGCGTGGCAGTCTTCGCCCACGCCGGCTCGCCGTCGGGCTGCCCCATGGCCGCTGCTGCTGAGTCCGGCGCGGCAATCTGCCGGACGTCGGCCGACTCCTCGTCGCACATGCCTGAACCATGTCCAGCCCGGTCGCCGTGCGCCGGTCCGAGGCGGGGCCGCGCCTCGGCGAACGCCGGCGGCGTGCGCACGGAGCGCGGGCTGCCCGCGTCGCCGGCCTTGGTGGCCGCCGCGCCGCCGTCGTCAAAGGCGGACAGGCTGGCCAGGCGGCGCAGCGTCTCGCCCGCCGCGTCCCCGCTGGCGCTGGCGGCGGGGCTGGCGCCGGCGTCGGAGGACCGCCCCGCCGCGCTGCCCGGCGAGGCGGAGCCGCTGCTCCGGCCCGCGCGGGAGTGCAGCGGCGGGAACACCGCGGCGCGCACCGTCTCGCGGGCCATCGTGCTGATGCAGGCGCGCGCCACGCCCATGTGCTCCGCGCGCGAGGCCAGTGCGGCGAGCAGCTGGTCGAAGACGTTGATGTCCAGCGTGCGGTCGCAGTACACGCCAACGCCGGCGGCGGCCAGCGTGCCCAGCATGCGCCGCGCCGCGCGCTGGCCCCCGGCCGAGCCCAGCCAGCTCAGCACGCGGTCCAGTGCGTCAGGGTCGGCGGGAGCGGCGCAGGGGTCGGCGGGGGAAGCGCCCGGCGCGGCGCGCCGGGCCTCGCAGGCTCCAGCCGCCAGGTTGCGGGCGCCCAGGGCCACGGCCAGGGACACGAGGGACTGCCCCTTCTCGCTCATCACGGCGGCCAGGATGCGGTCCAACAGGTCTGGGCCCATGGACTCTTTGCCAGAGGAGGAACCTGCGGTGCGGTGACAGGGTTTTGTGCGGGGGGAAAAGATGACGAGGAGAGGTGCAAGTGTGGAGGGTTGTTGTACACCTGCCCGCCAGGCGCGGGCCAGTCCTCAGAGGGCGCATGCTCGTGGCCCAACAACCCCTGTAAGTTAAAGGACCCCGAACAAGCCCCAGCCATAGGTACGCACCGTCCTGCACGCCTGCCCAGATGGCGGCGACGGTGTGCGACGTGGCCGCCCCCACCTCCGGTGACTGGAGCAGGGCTGCCAGCTGCCTCAGGCGGGGCGGCAGGGCGGCGTCGTCCTCCGAACCCAGGTAGTCCCGCACATCCCTCACCAGGCAGCCGGTGAGGTCGGAGCCGGAGGCCAGGGTGTCGGAGGCGGAGTCCAGCAGGGAACCCAGCCTCCCCAGGGCACGCCGCCAGGCCGCTACCGTGTCAGAGTGGTATGCTCGGTAGCCGGCATAGCCGATGACTGCCACGCCGGCCGCCAGGAGCAGCTCCCGGCGTCGTCGCTGGAGCAGGGCTGGGAGCGAGGCTGTCGTGGCCATCCCGACGTCGAGCGGGGAACAGGCTCGACGGTGTCAGAGGCTTCCGCAAACCATTCCAAATAACGTTGGAGGGTGCTGAAATTCCAGGCAACTGAGCTTCGTTCCCTTCAGGCCCGAGGCCCGGACGAGCTCGGGTGCGAGCCAACAGAATCCTGTTGGTTTCCACTGGAGGGCTCCAGTCCAAACGGCTGGGAGATCTATTGCTGTGGGTGGAGAGTCAGCTTGAATTTTTGAGGTAGGCATGGGCAAGTTGTCTGCCCCCCTTGGGTAACTCGTGCGTGGTCGCTCGCTGCTGACGCGGCAGGGCGAGCCTAGTGGCGAGCTCGGCCACCCACCAAACACCTCCGCGGAACCTGGGGAGTTGTTGAACTCGCAGCAGCCCCTACATTGGCCATACCGTGAGACATTGCCATGCAAATCAATACATTTGTACACAAGTTAGATTGAGTTCATACGCTTGGGAGCCTATGTTTCATGTTTCCGTACCCATCCTCTGCGAGTACAGGCCAGTGAGACGGAGCCACGTTGTCGAACATGCTCAGATCGCTGAGTAGTGACTGTGTTGCGGTCGAGGGACTCCTCCACACCATGCGCGGAACGACCCGGAGTGCTCCGAAACCACCATTCAAAAGCAGTGACTTGGCTTCGCTGGGCGGGTCCCTGTCCCGACCGCCCATCGCCAGGTCCGAAAGCTTTACAACGTGGAACAAATTCATCAAATACCGCCACCGGACCCGTCCCGGGCTGGCCTCTTCGCAGCCTCCGAAATGTCAACACCCCTCCCGTCTTTCCCCTTGCACACGCGCAGCCCGCGAGCGTGGCGGAGCAAGAGCGCGGCCACCAGCACCTCTTCCTTTAGCTTCAGCAGCGGGGCTTCGGGGGACTGGAACTGGGCAGCAGGTGGGGGACGTACTTCCTCAGCTACCACCCCATCTTCTTTCCCCACCACCGTCGGCTTTGACGCGCAGCAGCAGGCTCTTCCAGCACTGAAGGTCGGCAGCCATCACAAAGTTGCCACCTCAAGTCTCCAAAGCAACGGATCACCAGGATACGGGGAGGCTGATGGTTTCTTCCCACGAGTTGCCGCGAACGCCTCGGAGACTGCAGCCCTCGGGAAGCAGCCGGCCTCCTCGGGGCCCGACAAGTGGTGGGCTGGGTCGGCCGAGTCTCAAATGGCATGGCAGCCCCACCTGAGGATCGCGCGGAGAGCGCCCCTCCCCAGCCCCCTCGCATCAAGAGGTAGGGCGGACAGAACATGCAGGGGTCACGAGTGTGTAATGGAAGGTGGAAGTGCTTACCTGAATCTTCCAAGCCGTTTCTCAGCCAGCATTGTACTCTCCTGGTGCAGGTGACGTGGAAGAGCCCCCTGTGGTGAGACGGTCCCTGACACTGTCGGAAGTGATGGCCAGCTCCAGCACTGCTGGCACCAGCCCACCAGTCCAGGCTGAAGACCAGCCCCAACCTCGGACCAAAGTGGTGGTGCTGCGACCCTTGTGAGGTGTGGAGGGGCGAAAAAAAGCCCCCACAGTACGCCACAACCTTGAGAGCATCGACTCAATACGAAGAATAGAAGAGAACCAATCCTTCTGGAGAGTGATACCACCTCCACGAACAAAAACGAAGACCCACTTCTCACATGCTGGCATATGAATGCGAGGTTTTGATACCCAGCTCGCAGCCCTTCAACCCCCCCTTCTGGAGCGGTCCTTGACGAGACCCTCGAACTGCATAATACATCGCCTGTTGTAAACTGCACACTACACCTACATCTCGTGGATCCAGGGGAAGGGCCGACCAACAGTTTGACGCGCGCCCTATTTTCAGTTTTGTTAGCGTCCGGGGGTCTCCACATTGCAGACCATTCTCCGACTGGCGCGGTTTTACGGGGGCATGTGAATTGAGCATACGCACATCAATTCCTACACCCTCTTGACAGATTGACCACTACGCCTGGGCCGGCCTGAGCACTCCTGAGACCCAGGCCGTAGGATCTCTCGACGGCTTGGCCGACCATACCTCAGCTCACTTCCGATACTTTGAATCTCTCACATCCGAATACACCTCATTTATTGGAGTTTTCTATACGGAGTCCAGCATAATCCAGAGACCCGGCAGTGACACCCTTGGACCCGCCCCAGGCGATGGCAAAATTCAGGTCGGTCGGCCCACGCCACAGAGGTGGGGCCTATCGACACATCATTCTATGCACGGTGCTGTTGGGAATTGGTCTGGCGGCTCTCAGCTTCGCACCACACGGCCTACAGATGAAGGCTGTCGGAGGAGGTGAGGCGGGGGTGTGGTGTCCTTCGGGGTGATGCCTTTGTCATGATCCGTATATGTGATATGTTCCGAGCCAAGCAGCACCCTGTGTCTCCCGGTAGATCATGGCTTGAATCCGGAGTTTGTGGAGCACAGCTTCGTCACCAGCGCTCCAGAGGTGTGCGTGGCTGGCTGACGGTCAAGGGTCATAGCCTGTGCACAGTGCAGGCCCTGCAGATGCACGTCAGCGTCATATGTAGCAAATATATTAGCAGTGCATGGAGCAGGTGGATGTGGGCGTCACGGCATGCTGACCACGACCCTGTCCTGTCTTGCTTTTCAGGCCGTCAGCACAGCCGGTGACCAGGCGGATCAGCAGGCTGCGACTGAGGGGGCCGAGGTGGTCGAGCCGACCGAGGGGGCCGAGGTGGACGAGGAGGCCCAGCAGAAGGAGGTGGACGCCGCTTTGGAACGGGCTGCGGCGGCCGCGGCGGCCGCGCGCCGCGGCCGTGCGGCGGCGGGCGACCGCCCGCCGGAGCCGTGGATGGAGAACCCCGCCGCCGACTCCGGGATCCCGGGGCTGGTGGCCCCCTCAGGGTCTGACAAGTACCATGTCCTGGTGACGATGAACGGCGGGATCTACGTCACATGGCAGAGCCGCGTGTGCTACTACTGGTACAAGCGCATGAAGGCGCTGTACCCGGACAGCGCTATGGGTGGCTTCACCCGCATCATCCACGGGTAGGTTTAGTTGGAAATGGGGGGGAGAGGAAGGGGAGGGGTTTAAATATAGGAACAAAACGGGGCGCCAGAGCTGGAGGCGGGGCTGTTGGGGGACTTTCCCTGCTGTGCTAAGGGAGAGGAAGAGCACAACACAGCGACACGGCATCCACTGCTGCGCCGGCGGGGCGACTTTGCCAGCCTGTGCTGCCCATGACCGGCGCCTGCTCGTTGTCGATTTCCCACCTGACCCACCCCAGTGGCGTCGCCGATGAGTACATGGAGGAGATCCCCTCTGTCGTCGTGGACCCCATGCCAGAGGACATCGCCAAGCTGGCACAGGTCAGTGCGCCTGCGTCATTCCCCTGTCGTGCAAGAGGCTGTGTCTGTCCTGGGGCAAAACGATGCATAGCAGCCGCTCCGGGGGTGTGCAGCGGCTTCCTCGCTGCATGAGCCGCTCCTTGTTGCCAAGGACAGGCGCGCCATCCCATCGACGCTCTGTCCCTGGCAGCTGGTGGCCCTGGCCGCAAGGGCTTCCGCCCTCCAATCATGCAATCCATTGCACCCGCCCCTTCCCCCCCCCTCACCCCACGCCAGGGCTACGTGGTGCTGGAACGTCCCCTGGCTTTCCAGCAGTGGGTGCGGCGCTACGCCGCCCAGATCCCGGAGCCCTACATCCTCATGTCCGAGCCAGACCATGTCTTCGTGCTGCCGCCCCCGCTCTGGGCGACGCCCACCAGGTGCCGAGGAGCGGTGTGGAGGATGACAAGGGCTGCTCGGGGTGAGACGGCTCCTTCGGGGCATGGTCTGCCCCTCGCCCTGGCGTCCGCCTGCTGCCCTTTTCCGGGCAGGCGTCTCGCATGCTGACGGGCCAGGTCCCGCTCGCAAGGAACTCATGGCCGGTTTGGGGAGTGGGAGCAAGGAAGGATTGTTTCCCATCACCATGAACCCCGCCTTGCCG